GGTTTATCAGATGAACAAAGTCTCGCACCAAAGGTTCCTTTATGAGTCTGGATGATAAAATGAATGATACTTATCTTTTTGTAATTAGTGTGTAATCTTCAGAATTCTATAGAATGTCTTCGCACATTGCATAAAATCCCCTTTTAGAGAGCCTAGATTACAAAATTTTCTGTGGGTGCATGCCCTTGGAACTCCTCTAGAGGTTTGTCAGTCCTAAGCTGTCTAAGCTGCCTCTCATTTGCCAATACGAAAATATTTCTTTCTTGCAAGTATGTGATTATGAAACTATGCCGTCACAGATAGTTGAAACTATAGGTGCTGTCAAAGGGGGCAATTTTTCCTGGAGTCTTAGTTAAAGGAGGGCCGAAATAAAGAATTATGTAAAATATACATAGATATAACTGTCAAAAGACTTCCAGAATGCAGGATTTGACCATTTCTGGGACCTCAGATTTTAAAATTTTCCTGGGGAGAATGCCCCGGCCCCCCTAGTGATAGTGTTAGAAGATGGAATCATGTGGGGCACCAAGTCAAATTTGGCCCTGGGTACCCAAATATCCCTGGGCAACCCTACGTGTTGTGCAGTGTATGTTGGTTTTTGGCATTTTTTAATATCAATTGTAGCCTGTTTTGTGCATAGTAGTTACACATTGTGTGTGTTCAGAAATTTTCAGGGCGTGCTTCTGCTCGGCTAAACTTTGCGCAAAAATGTGCAGTGATAAAAAATTCTTAAAATTAGGTATGTTCTATATGCGGTTTGTCAGTAGCTATTTATACTAGAAGAGTCAAAATGCCCATCCTAAGTGAAATTTCCTGGTTATTTCATCTCACTTCCTTCCAAAGCCTGATTAATGTAACCAGGAATCTGGTTATATTTGACCAGAACGTAAGGGTTAAGGACTAAGCTTAGTGGATAAAACCAGAGCCCCTGGTTATTTATCCACCTATAACATGCATATAGTCTATAGTTAATATAACCAGGAAGTCCTAGTAAAATTACAGACTATAGCCATAACCCAAATAGGGTTATTTGTAGGTTAACCAGGAAAATTCTATCACCATGCAGAGTGTTTTTTAGAGTGTGGGTTATTTTGCTATAAATCAAACGGTAGCTAAATATTTGTTGATTTGAGCGATTTCTGTAAAAGTTATGTGCCACATATTACGTTTGCATCACTGTTGATACATAACGTCACTGGACGTCATATCTTGTAGGCTATATTTGCTAGGAAAGTCTTTGGAAATCATTAAATTGGTCAACGTCATTTATCAAAACAATCACTCAACAATAACACGAGCTGAAGGAAACGGTACTGCACGTAACACACAGAAGCCAACTGTGAGTTTTATTGTTCTGGTAAACAGCGGTTAATTAAAAATATGCAAACAGCACTTATGGGTTTTAAATAGTACATCTATCCACAATAGAGTTTACCGCATACGTTTTTATACTGCGACGAATGTTGTTGGAAATATAGCTAGCTTGCCTGCTTAAGCTTGTTACGAGTGTAACGGAATCTTTCTCTATAGTCGTGTGTTTACACTACCAGCCTTGGCCTGGCCTTGGCCTAGCCTTGGCCTACATTTTGACAGTGTAAACAGACTTTGGCCTAGCCTTGGCCTGACCTAGGCCAGGAAATCTGGGCCCACTACGGCCGGTGGCCTAGGCTTGTGGAAATGTAAACACTTTCGGCCCTGGCCTGGGCCTTTTTTCCATGGCAACGTGTGTCCACAGTGAGAGATTAGCGGACAACCAGCGGACAACGTCACAACAAATAAAAATACACAAAAATAATTACAAAATTTTAGGCCAAAGTGAGCCAGTCTCAAAAAAATAGTGTAATGGTGTAAACGCGCCACATTTACCTTGGCCTGGCCAAGCTAGGCCAAGACTTGTAGTGTAAACACGACTTATGAATCTAGCCACGTCTACAGTTATATATTCTCCACGAAGTACACATAACTTAATTGCATGAGACTTCTTTTACAGTTTATTTTTTATTTGATAACATTGATTCACTTTAAAAAATCAGGGGGTAATTAGCATAAGTAAACAAAGTCCAAGGGCTTTCTTGACTAAGCCGAAGAGTCTTTGCTCAAAATATCAAAATGTTTAAGGTAACTTAGAAACAAAATTATTTGTCATTTAAGTAATAATCTGTTTGTCGACATCTCTGAGCGGTAGCTTGATTCACGCAGATTTCGGAGCTGAAACGACTTTCTTTGATTTCAATGAAATTTTGCGTTCTAGAAGGCCAGCTTTCAAAGCCGCGGCATTGTAATTATAGGAGCGATAATACCATGCTGAACTTATATAATTTAAATTTCGCAGTTTCGAAAACAACTACAGCTTGCACTACAGTACACAGCTCGAATTAAATGACCAGTGTTTTCATTAGTTCCGGACTGGCAAGCAAGAGTTACGAACAGTTTTATATTATTCGTCGTCACCATGCCTTGAACCATGCTATATATATTAATATTGCTTGTGTGCTTGGTTGTTATTTTACCAAGCTTTCCTTGTCAAGGAGCAGCCAGGACTTTCTTGAGAAAACGAAAGAATACACCAATTGAGAAGGATCCTGAGTATTATAAAAGTAAGTTCAACCTTATATAGTCAGACAAATAGAATTGTTCAGTAAAGTACGTAAAATTAGGGGTTGCCATCATTCTTTACGGCGAAACTAGATGTTCTCTTGCGCCCAACTTGGCAATATTGCATGCATACATGAATTTACAAGTATTACAGGAAAGTTTATGCAGTATTTATACAAGTATTACAGGAAAGTTTATACAAGTATTACAGGAAAGTCTAATGGCCGGCTTCTGGCCAAAGACTTGTGTATCAAATTTCTCGTATAGTTTTAATTTCGTGCGCATCACAAAGGTAAGAAACTATAGGAAATCATAATCAAATGATGGTTTGCCGTGTTAGGATAACATTTCCATACTTTCAATTTTCACGAAGTGTTTGCTAAAATTTCCAAGCCACCCGAACTGAAAAATCCCAGGAGAAAGATCGGCAGGACAGTTTCATTAAGTAGCTGTATACAACAAATTTACAAATCTAATGGATAATGTTGTAATACGTCATAAATAGCTATACGTTATGCAGTCTAAATGTTTTGAACAAGCTGTATATGAATCTATTTAGAGTTACGAGAAGAAATCCCTTCCAAAGATGAAACGGCCAAAAAGTTGATAACAAATATCTTGCGCATACTTCCCGTTGGCAAAAGACAGGTGACGTTAGAAGATATAGTTATTGTAATGGATGGATCAGACTCGGTTGGCCCGTGTAAATTTAATAATGGAAAGAAAGCTATAGAAAATATAATGCAACTCGTACAGCCCGGAATAAACGTTAAGTATGCTATGGTAACGTTCGCTTCCAGAGTGAGAAGAGATTTCAGTTTCTTGCCCCAGTTAGATGCAGCAGCCAAAATGAGTGGTGTCACTTTTCCCGGTGGTAATTCAAACACTCAAGCCGGTCTTGCTGAGGCATTGGATCTGTTCACCACAGGTAAGCAAAGACTTACTGTAGCTTGTCTAAAACTCTTTGTTCCTTCGCTAAAATAACGTTTGTTGCTGCAATATGTTGTTACTGTTTTCCCCGGTTTTCCTTGATTTTGATTATCTTGCTGAATGTTGTTTTTTGCTCGTGTTAATTGATGCAGATTCTTTTTGTTTTTGTTAATTGTGTCCTTTTTGTTGTGGTTTGTTGGTTTTATTGCTATTGTCTTTGCTGTTGCTTTTGCTGTTGTCTTTGCTGTTGTCTTTGCTGTTGTCTTTGCTGTTGCTGTTGTCTTTGCTGTTGCTGTTATCTTTACTGTTGCTGTTGCTGTTGCTGTTGTCTTTGCTGATGTCTTTGCTGTTGCTGTTGTCTTTGCTGTTGTCTTTGCTGTCGCTGTTGTCTTTGCTGTTGCATGCTGTTGTCTTTGCCGTTGTCTTTGCTGTTGTCTTTGCTGTTGCTGTTGCTGTTGTCTTTGCTGTTGTCTTTGCTGTTGTCTTTGCTGTTGCTGTACGTTGTTTTTGCTGTTGCTGTTGTTGTTACTATCTTTGTTGTTGCTACTATCTAGTGTTGTGTTTTGTTGTTGCCATGTTGTTGCTTATGCTACTCTTAGTCTTGTCGTTTTTACTTTTATTTTCCTGTTCTTGTTGTTATACTTATAAAATCTTATTTTGCAAAAAGCCGCGGTTTCGGCTCGCGTAAGGTTGTACTGCTATTTACAGATGGCCAATCGGACGTTGAAAAACATAAGACAATACCAAATGCTAAAAAGTTAAAGAATACTGGGGTGGAAATTTTCGTTATTGCTGTTGGGTGCCGGGACAACCAGGGAATCATCGAGATGGCGAAAGTGGCCACCTTTCCACCAAACAACTTCTTGTTTTGCGTTAAAAAAGTTGGGAACTTTATTGATATCGTTAAGATGTCGATCGTAGTTTCCGGGGGAAAGTAGAAACTCCTCGAAAAATATAAATCTACGTGCTAACTGCACTTCCAAATGGAAAAACGTGCAGTGCTTATTATCTATAACTTTACCAATGCATTAATTCGTATATGCATGCTTATTATATTTATTAATTTCCCTGTAGTTAGACATGCATTTTCTAAAATGTATAACGTTCAAAAGAAACACTTTCTATGCTTTTTTAAAGGCTTTAAATCTTCACGATCTTAATCTCATATTTATCTTAACTTTTCTTAACCATTTTATAGTGACATTATCAGTCTTATTTTATATACATTTAAATCAAGTCCGTATAACTAATATACCATATATGATATACTATATATATTTCTATAGTTAAATTTATGCTAATGCAATATGTAGCATTTTTAACCATTTTAGATATCTTCTAATGAGTATATACACTACGAATAAAAACAGAAAAAAATATTGTGCAGTGTTCTTGTTTGCAAAGTGCTGTTCATTTTGTTATTAAAATTCTTAACGTTCTTTGAACTTAATGAGTGTCTACGTACAGTGCAATTCTTTGCTTCTCTTGTGCATGGTTGTTTAATAATTAAGCACTCTGACCCCATCACATGCATGCATGCATATACAGTAGATGCGTTGAGATGCGAGTCGACTTGTTGTAAGTTGTACTTTGTCTCGCATTCTACAGGGTAAAAAAAGGTAATCCACCTTTGGCATGTTATCGAGCATTATAGATTACGTTTATCCATTTACTTTTTTCAGACCAATAAAGATCAGGCTTTTAGCTGTCGAATGTTACCTTTCTTGTATCATTGCGAGCAAAAATAGCTAACTACGATCTGATTTAAAAATTAATGCCAGTCGAAATCACATTTTTTCCACCGTTGGGAATTGCGTAAAAAGCTATTATCTGAGCATTGGAATTATTCTCATTTGGGATTCAAATTAGGGTCCCTTGAGTAAAAATGGCGCAACGCATGTGTAATAAAGTTTTACTTGCGATTTTACATCGAAATTGAGTGGCTTAAAACATTTTAAAACACTGGAAGCTTGCAGACTGAACTCACAATGGCATATGGTTCCCAAATGCGCAACACACATTTGGGAAAATGTTCGAAAATTGGAAGAACATTTAAATCCCAAAGGTGAAAGAGCGGCTGAGTACTCCTGTGAAAACTGTGACAGGTAGTATACGTGAAGCCCCCTCCCCCAGTTTAAATTCGATAGGAATATATTTCATTGACCATGATGTTGGTAATTTTGTTTACTAATTTGCTTTTAGGCAGTGACCAAGAATCTTCATATTACTGTTTTACTCTGATCGTGTTGGTTGTGAGGGGTTACTACAGCTCCCTATATAGCCTCTCCCCAATTCTGCCGCGCCTGTTTTTGTGCGGGATCACGTAAAAACGCGTGAGAGCGAATTAAACAAATTGGGGAACGAGTTAACTTGTCGCGCTTGCAGGAAATTGCATCCTCCTTGGCGCCGACATTGCATGCATGACAGTACTAATTCAAAACCGTCAGAAATATTAAAAATTTCCTGCAACGTTTCCTCACAATTATTACCTATATATACAACGCATAAATAAACACAGAAAAGCCTTCGATTATAATTAATTATGATATAGCTATAGTGAAATGGAAAAATATTTGTTAATTTCTGTGATTTCTTTTTAAGTTATACCAAATTGTTCGATTGCAATGTGTATATGCCGATAATTAGAAACAATATATATTAACAGTAACACCGAAGGTTTAATATGAACGGGTGAGAAATAACCATGCAAGCAATGCGTCACACAGTTATATTTGACTGCAAAGTCTTTGGAGACCATTCAATTCGTAAACATTAATTATTAAAACAATATATAGACACGAGCTGAAGGAAACGGTGCTGCACGTAATTATATAAGACGCAAAATTGGGCGTCAACGGTATGGCACTGTGAGTTTAATTCTTGTGATAAACAGCGGTTAAATGCAAAACATATTTATCGATCAACATCTATCCACAATACAATTTACCACATTTTTTTCATATTTAACTTGTTACAAGTCTAACAGAGTCTTACTCCAACGTCAATAAATTATATAACATGGGGTTGTATACCACAAAAAATACATACGACTTCTTTCACTGTTTATTTTTATAATACGTTTATTTGAAAATATTGACTCACTAATTATATTATTGAGCTTGGACACTTAATATACTTATCCTCCTTAAAAGCGGGTTGGACGCAAACATTGAGCATTGAAGTTTGCTTTAATTATATAGGAATTTCATGTAAAAATATTATAAAAGTCAAGTCATAGGGCCTACTCACAATTACAATACACGTAGTCGTAAATCAGGAACCCTATTAATTATTTCTTAATGTGTGTCCGCGTTTCAATACAATGTTAAAGATCATACAGTATATATAGTTATACTGCATGCAGTATGTTCAACGTTGCAAACAATCAACGCCGAAAGAACTTTTGGTAATATTACTAATATACCATGCATGACACATTTGCTTGCTAAACTCGAAATATTGATTGCCTTGCTACATGTTTGATACCAGAATATTCGTCTAGAGGCGGTTTCCAGTCCTCGCACGAAGCTCCTCGCAGCGAGCTGCGAGCGCTTGCATCTAATAAAAATTAACTGTTTAGCATTGTGATTGGATGAATGTGCTCATGCATGCACTGCGAGGAGCTATTCTCTTTTTATTTCCGTAGTCGTTGCTTAGCTACACTCTACACTAAGTAAAGGCCACAACTTTAAAACAACATCCACGCGAATATTTGAAATTCCGGATGCTTTGATAGGGCGTGAAAGGATAATTAGGAATTCTTGTGGATAAACGGAAAGGCTTTGACCGACTGGTACGCTTGCACAATGTCCGTCATTTCTGGCCATGTATACTGCCACTGGTATCACTGCTATACATTTTGTATAATATAAATATATTTTCATACGAACCTGATGATAGCGAGCAACTTTCAGGGTTGTAACCCACAGAAAAGTTCACAGAGACCGTTTAAGATCGAAATCTGGCAACAAATCTTATATTTACAATAATATATTCGCGTGAACAGAAAGCACTAACTCTCAAAACATGAGGAAATAATGGTGCCGGATGTTATTCACTCTTCAAATTAAGAGAACTTTGTAAACACAACAAATCAATAACAGATAAATAAATACACCAAAAAATCTATTAGTTGTCCCAAATGAGGAAGTTTTGAAATAGGGAGTTAGTACAGGGTATAAGTTTTTAAACCAAGTCAGCGGATCTTAAATACTCAAAATGATTTTAAGCATAGTTTAGCCGCAAATTCATTTGTTGCTAAGTAATAATCTGTTATTCAAAAGGAAGTCAACATCTCTGAGCAGTATTTTGATTCACACAGATTTCGGAGCTGAAACGATTTTCTTTGATTTCAATGACATTGTATAATCTTTCAAAGCCGCGACATTGTAATTATATATACGAGCGAAATGCCATGCTTGAACGCGAGTATATATAATTTTAATTTCTATGGAGTATTGTTGGTTCAAAGTTTCGAAAACAACAAGCAACTGCATAAAACGGCTCGAAATGTCTAGTGATATATCAGTTCTCGATTGGCATGCAGGCAAGAGCGAGTTATACCAAGAATAGCTACGAAAGATATAAGCATGGGATACTTCACGTTTACATTTCTTATCTGCTTGGTTGTTATTCTACCAAGCTTTCCTTGTAAAGGAGCAAGACCTTTCTGGAGGAGACCAACGAACAAACCGAAACCAACGTTATTGCCACCAATTGACAAGGATCCTGAGTTTTACAAAAGTAAGTTTAAACGTACAAATATAATAGTGTACCATTTTGTGAAGTAAAGTTAGGGGTGCTAATCATACATACGTAAATACATACATTATTCAGCTCACTTCTCAACGGAGCAGACTATGCACCTACGTTTTCGCTTACGTATATTACTCACTTATATCCTTTTTACAACAATTGTGATATTATTTTCTTAACTATGTTTATTCCTATAACCCACCTTGCCAAGTAATTATCCTTGTGGAAGGAAACTGGAGCGCCGCGGAAACTTTCTGCATACAGAGCGTTGACAGGCTGTTTTAGCATGAGTCGGTATTCACATGAGTCGGTACCGTGAGAGATATACTATATACTGAGCCAAGGAATCGAGCTCGGAATCGAGCTCGGAATTCGAGCTCGGAATTCGAGCTCGGAATCTAAGTTTTATTATAGTCTAGCTGGACCTGTATGTGAGTTTGTATTAGCACTGTTTCACTTAGCACAGGTAATCTCAACTGCTTTAGGGTAAAATGACCATGGCAGTCAACATGCCAATATATGCCAAAACCTGAATCCGGGACAAAATTCCTGAAAATGATCCCGCCCTGAAACGGCAGTGTCGACATAGCTGTATAACTTCCGAAAAGGAAAAGCGATAGCCTTTCTGAAGTGTTATAGTGTTCAGAAGGGTTGCTTTTAGGGATTGTCAGTAGCCTGAAATGTCAGGCGTTCTCCCCGCTTGAACCTGACATTTCAGGCTAGGGTGGTCAGTGGAAGGAAAAATTTGTCTAAGTATAATATTTTACAAGAAAATGACCATGCACCACCCCCAGGTAAATTGCTAATTATGCATAAATAACTAATGTGCCTGGCAGAAGTGAAATATCCCTATTTCCTAAAAACAAATACCATGAGGATTGTCATAAGGATTGTCAGTTTTCTTTAAATATATAAATACCATATTTTGCCATCTTGGTTGCTTTTTATCACCAACTGAAATCTGGCAAATATCATCCAGTTGTTGCACTTTTACAAAACATGGTTGAAGAAGATTTCAAAGAAGGTTTCATCAGGTTTTGAAACAGTGCAGTGTAATTATCTTCGTTACTGTGTCCTTCGATATTTCGTGAAATACTGAAATATGGCGCCATTAATCATTATAAATTGCAATGGCTCGCCGCTTCTCTGCCCGGATAAATGCCACTTATTCGTCTTGCTGTGTATTTAGACATTACAGTATCCAATAGTACTTCATTGTAGAATAGTCCCAATCGAATCTCATAAAACTTGTTGAATATATATTTAACAATCCAAATTCGAAAAGAAGTATTAATTTAAAAGTCACGCGCACAGGGAGCAGAGGAGTCACTAAACTCTAGTAAAACAATACAAACGCCATCTTACCTTGTTAATTGTAACATATTTCATTGTAAAATTCCCATTAAAATGCATATTTTACAATTTATAGTCTGGTGAAATGTCGTGAAACCATGCAGCCGTTCCGCACGTTGTAACCAATAATTTATTGGCGTTGTAATGCCATTGTATGCAATAAAGTATTGGTTACAATGGATTTATAATTAATCCAAACACGCTAATCCTAATTCAAACCCTAATCCTAACCCTAACCCCTAACCCTAACCCCACCTTCTAACCCCTAACCCCTAACCCCACCTGCCAGCCCCGCATTCTAACCGCAAACCCTAACCCCGGCCAGCTACCCCTCCGGGGAAGTTGGAGCTCAATTCCGAGCTCGATTCCGAGCTCGAATCCGAGCTCAATTCCGAGCTCGATTCCGAGCTCGAATCCTTGGCTCGGTAAATAGGTATCCTCGTACCGTGACTCGAACTAACAATCTCAGAGATGAAAGGTGTTTGCTCCGACGATATATATATAACAAACCTTGACTGAATTGCAGCTTTGCATTTGGTACACCCTGCATGTATTGAATGAATGTTGAATGCAGTTGAATAATTTTTAGCCATTGATCTTCATTTTAAATTCGCCAAATATTACTTTACATAAAAAGTTGGAAAGTTATATGAAAAATATAGTGTCATAACAAACTGTGTTAACATTATCGGATGTATGTACTACAAGTGTTACTGCTCTGATTATAGCGTTCAAATGTTTTGAACAAGCTTGTATATAAATCTATTTAGAATTAAGAGAAGAAATCCCTCCAAAAAATGTAACGGCCAAAAAGGTGATAACAAATATCCTGCGCATACGTCCAGGGGGCAAAAGACAGGTGACGTTAGAAGATGTGGTAATCGTGATGGATGGATCTGGTTCTATTGGCGCATGCGAGTTTAATAATGGAAAGAAAGCAATGAAAAATCTAATGGGATTTGAACAACCCGATGTCAACGCTAAGTATGCAATGGTAACGTTTTCCCGGACGGTGAGAAGAGATTTCAATTTCTTGTCCCAGTCAGATGCAGTAGCCAGAATAAGTACGGTAACTTTTCCCAGTGGCAGTACAAATACTCAAGCTGGCCTTGCTGAGGCATTAGATCTGTTCAACAAAGGTAAGAACTGCAATGCAGCTTATATGCAATGAAATTCCAAAGGATATCTTTATAAATTAATATACAATTACTTTATGGTTTCCGTGTTTGGATGGCCTGATCCAAACACGCGGGAATGTTCCGAGATGTTAGTGCGAATGTTGTTATTGTTTGGTGGTGTTGTTGTTGTTGTTGTTGCTGTTGTTGCTACTGTTGTTAAGTTGTTGTTGTTTTCGTCAGTAGCTGCTCTTGTAGGCGTTGCAATTGTTATTGTTCTTGTTTGTTGTTGTGGTTTTTATTGTCCTGCTGTCGGCGTCGTTTTTGTGGTTGTTGTTGTTGTTTCAATGTCGTTACTTTTGCTGCTGTGTATTGTTGTTATTGTTGCTACTATCTTGCCGTTGTTGTTATTGTCGGTGTTGTTATTGTTGGTGTTGTTATTGTCGCATAGTGTAGTTGTCATTTGTTGTTGTCATTTGTTGTTGTTGTTGTTGTTGTTGTTGTTGTTGTTGTTGTTGTTGTTGTTGTTGTTGTTGTTGTTGCTGTCATTTGTTGTTGTTGTCATTTGTTGTTGTCATTTGTTGTTGTTGTTGTTGTTGTTGCTGTCATTTGTTGTTGTTGTTGTCATTTGTTGTTGTTGTTGTTGTTGTTGTTGTCATTTGTTGTTGTTGTTGTTGTTGCTGTCATTTGTTGTTGTTGTTGTTGTCATTTGTTGTTGTCATTTGTTGTTGTTGTTGTTGTTGTTGTCATTTGTTGTTGTTGTCATTTGTTGTTGTTGTCATTTGTTGTTGTTGTCATTTGTTGTTGTTGTTGTTGTTGTTGTCATTTGTTGTTGTTGTCATTTGTTGTTGTCATTTGTCGTTTGTCGTTTGTTGTTGTCATTGTTGTTGTCATTGTTGTTGTCGTTGTTGTCATTTGTTGTCGTCGTCATCGTCGTTGTTGTCATTTGTTGTTGTTGTTGTTGTTGTCATTTGTTGTTGTTGTTGTCATTTGTTGTTGTTGTTGTTGTTGTTGTTGTTGCTGTTGTTGTTGTTGTTGTTGTTGTTGTTGCTGTTGTTGTTGTTGTTGCTGTTGCTGTTGTTGCTGTTGCTGTTGCTGTTGTTGCTGTTGCTGTTGTTGTTGTTGTTGTCATTTGTTGTTGTTGTCATTTGTTGTTGTTGTTGTTGTTGTTGTTGTTGTTGTTGTTGTTGTTGTTGTCAGTTGTTGTTGTAGTTGTTGTCAGTTGTTGTTGTAGTTGTTGTCAGTTGTTGTAGTTGTAGTTGTTGTTGTTGTTGTTGTTGTCAGTTGTTGTCAGTTATTTTTGTTGTCAGTTGTTGTTGTTGTTGTCAGTTGTTGTCGTTGTCGTTGTCGTCGTTGTTGTTGTCGTTGTTGTCATCGTCGTCGTCGTTTTGGTTGTTCTTGTCGTCGTCGTCGTTGTTGTTGTCTTTGTCGTTTTGGTTGTTCTTGTCGTTGTCGTTTTGGTTGTTCTTGTTGTTGCTTAGCCTCCTCCGCAGGCCTCTCTATGGGCTCTAGCCTGCGAATGGGTTTGAAAAAAAAGATTTTCCCACCACCCGATTCGTCGGGTGAGATGCCTGCGGAGGAGGCTAGTTGTTGCTGCGGTCGATGTTATTATTGCTGATGCAAACTTTGTTGTTATATTATTAATGTTATACATATCAAATTCTATTTTGCAGAAGGCCGCGGTTTCCTCTCGCGCAAGCTTGTACTGCTGTTAACAGATGGCCAATCCAACGTTCAAAAACACAAAACATTGCCAAATGCTCAAAAGTTAAAGGATGCGGGAGTGGAAGTTTTCGTTATTGCTGTTGGTGGACAGCATATTCGGGGAATCGACGAGATGGCAAATATGGCCACGTTTCCACCAAAGGACTTCCTGCTTCGCGTGGAAAAAGTCGGGGACTTTTTAGAAGTCGTTAATTTGGCAATCAAAACAGTAGCTCCGGGCAAATACAAAATCCTCGGCGATAAATATAAATCTCCTTGCAGATAAGGTATACATTTTGTAAAATGCCAAACGCTTTCTTATTATAACGCTTCCTCAACTATAGCCGATCAAAAACTCATTAATAAATCATGAGGAAAACACAAAGAAAAATCATAAGCGTGTCGTATCTTTAATGTGATAGAGATTTGACTTGATTTACATAAAATTTAACTTCGATTTTCTCGACTTACACAACGTATTTTTTGAAAGTTACTTCGCCAATGAACTTATTAGATCGATCGTTTTGAAGCAATTTAAAACATTCGCAGTGCGTGTTTTATCATACCTGGCTAAAGATACTCTGCTTCGCCTCGTATCTTTATATCTGATAAAACATACAGGCTAATAAAACACTCCTGCTCGTTTTATTAAACAGCACATAAAGATCGAATGCGAATGTTTTAACGTTCTTAAAAAACGATCCATCTTATGAGTTCATTGGCAAAATAATTTTAAAAATAAACATTGTCTAACCCGGGAAAATCAAAGCTGAAGTTTATGTAAATCAGGACAAATCTTTATCCGATTTACAAACATTGATTAAACATTCATTTCTTTTGTATTTTCCTCGTGAATTATTAATTAATGAGATTTTTAATCAATTTTATAGATTTATAGAATTTACTATATATACTTATTATTTCATTTAAAAAATGCAATGTAGCATTTTAACCATTAGGGATACTTCTCGTACCACTAATGATGGCAAGATATTATATTTGTTTTGTTTGTATTAAATGTTTCTCATTTTGTTATTGAACGATTTACTTGTGTATCTAATTATTGGTTATGACCAAACATGTTTTCTTGAGTTTAAGAATCAACCCATTGAACTATAAGTATACTGGAAGGCTAACTCCTATGATAAAGGCCTATGATTCGTTGAAGCCGACGCGCGGGAAAATCAGCTTTCAAAAGGACTGAGGAGAGTTTCGAGGAGTGAAAAAAATTCGGTCAAAAGTTTGTTTTTGAGCAAAAATTCGGAAGAACAACACATTTCCATGGGAATACTACAATGATTGCATGGGATTAAAATCTGGTTTTCCGATTAGTTCCACTGTTTTACATCTCTCTGCAGCAAAGAGTGGGGGAGTTTTGCATTTGTACGTATTTTGAAAAATTGATGAAGTTTGGACGTGCCGATGGAAACCTCACTCTTCAACTCGAAAAAGCTATACTATAAAACATTTTCGGACAGTCCCAAAACTTAGTTTGTACTAAACCCCAGGTATTGTTATTTATGCTGAGCTTTTAGTCCTTGTTTTATTCCTTCTAAAACAAGAATAAATTGACTTTTTCAAGTGATGTGATTTTCGTCATCGCATCTTCTTGTTGGGCATTTATACGAGCACTTATATGGCAGCCAAGCTAGCTATGATAATGCTTATTTTAACTGTTAAAAGTAAGACGTGAGTACTTGACAATAAATTTTGCAAATGTATTTAATATTTTTCTACATAATTTGTATCATAAAATCTCTTAACTCTTTTTGGAAAGTCTCATAACTCAGAAAAAACCAAACATTTTCGCGCGGTTTCTTGACAAATTTTGTTGTGGCTCTGTAATATTTTAGCAGTTGAACGATGTTTGTTTATTGTAAATACTTGAGTGAAAATATTAACTGTCTTAGTATGCTCCAAAATGAAAAAGGAAAGGGGGAAAAGAAATTAAAGGAGTAAAATTTATCGATATTTCAAACACTCATTAAATTAATAATTCATAAGCCTATTGGCAAATCATGTCAACCATAATATGTCACGTGCAGTGGCTTTAAACCTGATAAAACACTCCTAATTAGTATTCTTTATATAAAGAATACTAATAACGCAGTATCCATTGTAGTCGTGTCCACATTAATATTCTTTATATAAAGAATACTAATAAGGCAGTAAATCTATTGAATTTGTAGTGTTTTGAATCTGCTAATAAATTCGCAGGTCGTGTTTTATTAGGTCTAAAGCCACTCGCTCTGCGCGCTCGTGGCTTTAAACCTAATAAAACACTCCTGCTCGTTTATTAATTAAACAGTACATAAAGTGTATTTTTCAAAAACAAATTGCAAAAAAGAACTGGCACTACCTACAATGCGCGGCTTCAATTTCCCCCCTGAGTTAGCCTTCCAATTTACTTATAGTTCAATGAATCTCGTTCCCAGGCTCTTCCCTCTTATGGAGGAAAGACCGTGGTCGGAGCTGGTCACGTGTCACGCAGACTTTGCGTGGGAAATTGAGATTGATCTCAGGGAGGGGTAGTAGAGGAGTCTGTGTGTTGCGTTTGGAAAATTGCAACTTTGTGTGTTATAGTTTCGAGTCCGATCAAATTAATCCACGCGGCCCACGCAAAGGACACGTAAACCATAAAACAACACATAGCGCCTGGGTACGAAGCACGTTTTGGGTGATTTAAATGTAATTTGCAACAAGAAATCGTGAAAAGAACTGTTCTAAATTCGTACTCATCATGACAAGACTTCCTGTTATACTGAATGTCATCAATACATTTCAAGCATGATGCTGGATCATATTTCACTTCCATGCAAGGAAAGGACTCCACGTGCGTGCGGTACAACTTGAATATTTAGGACGATTCATGCACCAGACACTAATATTGTAGGCCTACTTTATAGTAAATTATTTCATATTTCATGTATTACAGTAATTTACAGCAGGTATATTATAAATCTTATAAAGACTTTCATTGGCATTGCCATTGCCCATTCAGGGCTTTATATTTGAAGAATAATCCAGCTTAAAATCCAGCTTCTTTCGACTTGTATAATGCCGTTGTGGGTCATCAATATTTATATCAACTTTAATCTTTATCGTATACTGTAATCGACATTTTAGAAGTTTCACCAAACAATACTGAAGGCAAACAACCTATCTATCAATGGAAACTTTACAAGGCTTATAAAAACTCATTATTAAGTAATTCTATGAGCGAGACGTCGTGCGCATATACAGTTTATGCATTATGTATAGGCTATATATATATATATATATATATATATATATATATATATATATATATATATATATATATATATATATATATATATATATATATATATATATCCCTGATAAAACGTAGGGGCATTTCCACCAGATATAACAAAAAATACTTTGCTAAACCTTATCAGGTATCATTCCTTTGCATTCAAGGGGCGAGGGCGAATGGCGATAGAATTATCTAGGAAAATGCTGTGCAATACTTAGGCGTCAACATACAGGTACTCGTGCAGACAAAAAGGAAATGCATGCAGTTGTGAATTGTCGTATAATTGTTACATGTCGTATAATACGTTAACACTCCTTCCTACCTGGTGTTTAATATAAACGATGATAACCTTTTAAAAAAATCTAGAGTACTATGTCTATAAACGGTTTTAGAATCAAAATAAATAAACTTTCAATGTCTATATTGGGCTAGTGTCCAAATGTGTAACGTTTGCTGTATAAGACCAGCAAGGTGCTACGACCTACACAGTGGCTTTTGAGACCTCTATTTAACAAAATTTATACCGTTTCCATATGACAAAAATTTAAGGGCATATTATAAGAATACTATAAATATCTGAAACCAGAGGCAGAACAGAAACGTACCCGTGAAATGAATCTGCGCCCGAACCCCGAGAGAATAAAAGGGCAAATATTTCAAAGCATACGTTTTCATTGCTTGTTGCTATAAGAATCTGCAGTTTAGCATGTTTGTATAATTTAAAAGCAAACAGAAACCAAATTTAGCAAGTATTTTGAAGCATATATGATTCTCAAAGATGACTGTACAGCGGAACAGTCACTCCTTGCAATCGCAGCCTGGGAACGAGGTTGGAGTTTAATACACATATGTTTAGCTATCACAAAACTGAGTTCGTCAAACCGCAAAGTGTCTCAAAAGTTCGGTAATTACGTCTGAAATATTTTAGGTGCATGTAAGGCTCCTATATATCAAATTATCATAGTTTTTGCATGCAGCACGGCTAAAAGCTAAAGGCTTCATAATTCAAACTATATATTAGGTTAATTGACGAAGCAAAGGCGGCATACGTAAATTACATAAGATTGTCAATGTACTTACCATTTTCGCATCTCTGGCCAATTTTCCCAGCAGGACAGAGACACCTGCCATTCAATGGATTACAAGGGATATCATCTTCACAATCACATTTCTGTTCACAATGATCCCCGTACGTCCCACGTGGACACTCTGATGGAAACAAAATAGTAACCATTGTAAGTGTGGAAAGATAGATGGCCATTGTCCAGTTTATTAACAAAAAGGAATGAAAAAAGATAGATGAACTTTATTCAATAGGTAATTTCCAGATGCTCTTATTGTATTGACCAAATTTCAGTGGAACTTAACAGTCATAATTCTGAGTATGAAATGAAATTATGCAGGTAAGAATATCTCCATATAACAGTGATTCATGCAAATGGTCGGAAAATAAAGAAATATTACAGACAATCAAATGTCCGTTGCGTGCCGAAACATGTGCATGCTTATAAAACCTCATATCTTGACGTATGCTTATGGAGTCCAACGTTTTCTATTCTGAAACGCAAATTGTATGCACAATTTAAAGTACAATAGAAAAAGGACACTTCGGCAAACCTCCGTCCACTGTACAACTACAAACGTTTTCTGGGAATGTTTTTTTAATTATACAATAATGCGTTAAAATAGAGGTGGATGTAAAAGACGGAATTGCATGTAGAATGCCATCCTAAATGACTGCGGAATTGGATAGGGTTGAGTTAAGGGTTATGGTAGGATTGGCGTTAGAGTATGGATATATAAGGGCTACGGTTAGGATTGGGATCAGGATTAGGATAAACAAAATGTCTCAACATTTGAGGGATCTAGCAATTACAGAAAAACTGCACTTTTGTTAATGGCAATACAAAATTTAACCACTCTCTATGTTCGCGCTCAATCAATATTTGTTTCGCTTGTTTCAACCACTGCAAAAAATTATTGTTGGTATATTCTGGTCAAGTTTACTGCAGTACAGTAAATATATACGGGCGAAGTACACCAATCTAAGCATTCGAAACACCAATGCCAAACGTAAAGCTCATGTGCGAGTCTACGAAAATGGCGGAGAAAATGTCTGCCAAAATAATACAAGTAAATACGGGAGAAGAAAAGCGTTTACAATAAAGTAACGGCTGAAGCTAGAAGGTAGGGAATTTAATCGCCTTTTCCTTTTGTCAAGACAAAGTTATCCTGAGTTTAAACCCTCGTAATTGTTTTTAAACCTTTTGCTAGAGCTTCATGAAGACAATACTATTTCCAGTCTTTTGACTGCAAGCCTCGCTGCAAGCAGTAGATGCCCGAACGTTTGACAGCGGTGTTGGCATTCGATATCAATTTGAAAATTACCTTCATCACACGTGGGTCCAGTCCTGCCGAGTGGACATAGACATTTCCCATCAGTTGGCCGACATCCTATACCTTCAGCACATTGACAGCGATTTATACATTCCACGCCATATGTACCCAAAGGACAGTCTAGAATGCAAATGACGTATAAATACATGATAATATGGTTATATGGGAATATAATTAAAAACACACTTTTTCTGTTCGACTGATTGTACTCAAAGTCTGGCCTCGTCTGATATGTCTTATACCTCACTGTAAAGTTTCGTCAAGTCCTGACACTGGTTACGTTTTCATGAAGAACAGAATGCTGCTGGTTTAATTAAGTATTAAGGATTGAACAAAGTTTTATCAACTCTTTCTGTGGTTTTCAAGGCTCGCGCCTTCGGCCCCCCTCCCCCCTCCCTCCCTCCCCAATCTGAAATATTTACATCAATAATGACAGTAATTAAAATGTAAATAAACTCGTTAGGTTGGATAAAGTTAAATTTGATAAAGTCGTGAGATATTCTCATGTAGTTAAATTGGAAGCGTGCAACTTACACACGTACAAACGCGCAAGTTGTGACAAACCTGCAGCAGACTTGTAGCAATGCTGTTCCAACAACTTGTCAACAGGATGTGTTCGCCTGCTTGTTCCCAACTTGTTGACAAGCTTTCAACGGCTTGTTGACAACTTGCTACAAGTTTGTTGAGCTCGACAGACTTGTTATCGTCTTGCAATTCAACAATTTGTAGCAACTTTATAGAATATTAGCAATCAGCATTGTTACAATTTGTTGACAAGCTTGCTACAAGCCTGTTCCGAACACATCTTGTTGAGAAGTTGTGAAATGTTTACGTGTGTAGGCGATAGTATAACCATGCAGGCAACTACATAGCGCAACAATCGAATCCTGACATCGTTGGAGAATGTAAAATAAATATCAACTTAATTCCTACCTTACTTGTTTAGTAATACTTACAACTTGTGCAGTTTTTGCCAGTCAAGCCCGCTGAACAGTTGTACAAACACGTGCCGACTACATGGTCACACTCAACATCATCAGGGCATGCGCATCTCTCTTGACAATTTTCTCCAAAGTAGCCATGTTCGCATTCTGGAGTAGAATGAATATAATTTAATTTCATCGTGTTATTCTAGTTCGCTTCTTGCTTTCTGTCATTGCCCGTTATTTTACATTCTTAACCATTTAATTGCTTTTGTTTACTCTCTATTCAATTCAGTTTACTGCGTCTATACATTTTATTTTCCCTTCTTTCCTTCCATTTTTCCTTTATTGCCAACGATTCCCTTCCTTAACGACTGGGAATTGCACAGAAAAATTGGCCATATCGTTGAGCAATCATTCCATGGCAGTCAAGAATTTTTGTGTTCTTTTTATTTTCCTCCACTTTGAATAAGGCTCAATGCTCTGAATGTTTCTTGAGTCACCTAATATTGTTTTCAGTTGGACCTTTATTGAGAATTTTCTTAACCTCAAAATTCTATACCAATGAATCAAACACTTTGCGCACTTTGGCGACTCTTGAAATAATTTAGTTCCTCGCCTCATTATATATGCGAGAATGCATAATTTACGCGTGCTCAGTTATGATGGGCTAGCTTATCGTAGGTATCAAATTTGTGGCAACTATTTTCGATCGTGCCTTTAATTGTGCTTCGTTCCTTTTTTTCCAATCAATCCGCCTTTTCATTCTTTCTTCCTTTAAGCTTCCATGCATCTCTTTTACCGAGGTCTGAATAATTCTTGATATCATGCGAAAGCCGAATCCAATAATTGTTTTATTATACATTTAAAGACATGAGAAACGTATAAAACGATTCCTGTTCATGAGGTAGGAAAAGTACAATTTGAATATCAAACACCTTGCACAAAGTCAAAGGTCAGCTAAATATTCTATTTCTACTTCTATTTACCCCTTTGTGGCTTTTTCGTGCTTTCACTATCCTTATCTGCCAATAATTTGGAGAGTTCACTTTCATTCAGCGAAGCAAATCTGCTGTATGCCATTGTTTTTTGGGGGTTTTTCGCGCGCTTATAGGTTCAAGCTTTTGGCCGCGCAAGGGTTTGGGCAAGAGAGAGTCCAATAATTTTTTTTTTGGATGCAAGTTCGATCCAAAAAAACAATTATTGGAAGCTGATGACGTCATCGGCGGAAAATATGTAATAAATGCCGAATACTGAAAATTAGCCGGTGCTTTCTGACCAATTAGAAACGAGAATACATATTAAATGTATAATAATTCTCAATGTCAATATCATATTCTCTCGCCAAACCAAAATTTGGCGCTTTTGTTCGTATTTTCATTTAGTTATTTTGCTTTAAGTTCCTCTAGGGCAATTTCGTTTGTGTTCTAAATACCTTTCCGCCATTTTGTTTGTTTAGGGAAAATCATTAATTCCACTGTGTGAAATAATTGCACTCCACTCAACCAATCAGCATCCAGTAATTTTGTCATGCTAATAATAAATATTTTTACAAGCAATATTCAAATATACATCGATGCTCGATAAGCGTAATAGAAACGTATATAACATATAGAAATCTCAGGCTTACAACCCAGACTTGGATGGAGAACTGTTTTCTTAACAGAAATAGTAGGACAACCTTTTGCTTACAAACTTCAGCTCCGATCTGTTTTCGCTAATTTATAGATTCGTGTACGTGTTAACGTTAAATGCAAATCCAGAAAACTATGTACATCTGGGAGTTGCCAGCACACAAAAAGGAAGCATGGTCATAGGATACGTGAACAGCTAAAAGTATTAAATTACGTATACCCATCTTGGAATATGTACAAATGACTATGACAACACTAATACACCCTTCTGGAAGTACGTCACTGTGGCAAAAGAACCTCGGTTTCGTGTATGTGATATCAGTTAAAGCCCATCCTCTCAACCATGAAATTGAGGCTCTGTAGCCAAGGTGACATATTTTCTGGAAGCGTGTATTGAAATAGGGGTATGCGTAGTTATCGTGTCATCTTACTTTGATCACAAAGTTCGGTGAAGCCAGGTTTACACGCACACCGGCCAGTAATACGATCACATTTTCGGGTTCTCTCCTTCACACATTGACATGGCTTACATCCAAATCCAAAAGTATCATTAGGACACTCTAAATAAGCCAAATTTCAATTTGTTTAGAGTAAGGTTCCAACTAACTACTGAATGATTGATTCTTTCCGAACTATTATACGGACTAAATTAATAATTTATAAATTAATTGTATTATGTATTTATACGGCTTAAATATTGACAATATTGTAAATAATCGTATTTTTTATGCAGGACCTCACTGAAAAACATGTATGTGATGTGTATTACTTATAAGGTCAATGTATTCAACTTCAGCTCTTGCAGTGTTTTGAAAGATCCGCTTACTCAGACAGTAGCTAGAGCTGAGGGTGGTCTTTCACAATACTGCAGAAAGTGCAGAAAAAATAGAGAATATACAGTAACTTACTAAATATAAAGACCTGTTTAATACAGTCTACTATCAGAGCACCAGCACGTCCTTGATTTAAGCGCCAACAGTGAACCAAATTAGATGATAATTGGTTCTTTAATTCTATTTAATCTCGCACCCAGAACTGTATTACTGTATATAGATGTATACTTTAATAGCTCTGGGAAGCAATGCGTACAATAGTTCTCTCCGATATTCCGATATGCGTTCTGTTAATGTCTGGCCATGCAGGGGCGTAGGAAGCTTAGAAAAATTGGGGGGGGGGGCAGGCTTTGAGGGGCACTTAAAAAAAAAAGGGCATCTCAAAAAAATTTTTTGGCGACCTCCTCCCCCCCCCCGTCGCCAAAAAAATTTCGGTCAGTGTACCATTTTAGGGGTAAAAAAATTTTCCGGACATACCATATTTTTCCTTAAACACTAAAAAATTTTTCCGGAAAAACAAATATATGATATTTTTATCGGAAACTAAAACATTTTTCGGGAAAAAACCTACATTACAGTTTTCAAAAGTTTCGTTTGGACAAAAACTGCGAATTTTATGAAAAATTTTCAGGCACAAAAAGGGCACTTGCCAAAACTTGGGGGGGGGGGGCCATGGCCCCCCTGGCCCCCCCGGTTCCTACGCCCCTGTGGCCATGCCATGGTTCGGTGCGCTCATCACACGCTGTTTAAAACCGGGCCTAAAACTAAAACTAAAACTGAAATTAAAACTAGGCTATAACTTAGATTGTAAACCCGTATATGTCACCAACTGTAAACTATAGCGATGTTATCTCTATTTTTCCAGAGTTACCGCAAGAGGTATATAAAAATTAACTTTATTTGAACTTAGCTATATTAGTACTGAACTGTTCTCCCCAGTGAAAGACAACTTTATTTGATGTTACCATCGTCCATCAACGCCAACTTACCATTTTCACACAGCTCTCCTGTATATCCAGGTGCGCATTCGCATTTCCCAGTCACGTGATGACATCGAGCTCTGTTCTCGCATGGACATTTTAGTTCACAATCTTGACCGTACGATCCCAATGGGCAACCTGGAGAAAGATATGATCTGTGATCAGAGGGGACTCGAACTTTCGACACATTTTTTAGAATCTATACCACAGTGAATAATGATTGTACATGCAGTTGAAGGACTTTTACAGACCGAACTAGCTGAAGGTGCGAAAAATGCAACTATATATAGCCCCTCTGGCAAGAATTGAGGAATCAAACTGTCAGATGTTGGGATCCTAGGTAGCGGCGCTAACTGCAAATGCCTGAGGCTAACTGCAAACCTTGGTCAGAAGGTCTTATGCATGCTTAATTAAGGTAGAAAATTTCAAGAACTCCCTTTTTAAGTGCCAAATCTGGTCGATTTTCAAAAGCCAGAACTCCTTTTTCAAATGCCAAAACTCCTTTTTCAAATGCCAAAACTCCTTTTTCAAATGCCAGAACTCCGTTTTCAAATTCCAGAACTCCGTTTTCAAATGCCAGAACTCCATTTTCAAATACCCAAACTCCATTTTCAAATACCAGAACTCTGTTTTCAAATGCTAAAACTCAGTTTTCAAATGCCAAAACTCAGTTTTCAAATGCCACAACTCCGTTTTCAAATGCCAGAACTCCATTTTCAGAAGCAGAACTCCGTTTTCGGCTTGATATATGAAAATTTTCGACTAATTGGGTTTTGAACAGGGGCGTAGGAACGGGGGGGGGGCACGGAGGCCCTTTCAAAGGACTAAAAGTGCCCTTTTTTATGATGAAAAGTGCCCTTTTTGTAGAAGCTAATGTCGCTGTAAGTACTAAATTAACATCAAACGTGCCCTTTTTGTTTGGAAATTTCCAAGTTTTTTAAAAAAATGTCGTCAAAAACGTGCAATCTCGGTATGGTACGACGGGAAAATTTTTCTCCCCCCCCCCCGTCGCCAAGATTTCCGTGAAAAAATTTTTAGGTGCCCTTTTCAATACCCTAAAGTGCCCCTAGATTCCGGTGTCCCCCAATCTTTTGATGCTTCCTACGCCCCTGGTTTTGAACAAATTAGTGGACACTCAATTTTGACAATATGAAACATAACTCAAAAAATTTCTTCGGTGCCTGGTCCCCTGTCGCAATTTGCTAACTGAAAATATTTTTTTGCTATCTGGGGCCGTTGTATAAAAAAGTGATTAAAGTTAATTATGATTAAGTGGAAACGTCATCCAATAAGAAGCGCCTATTTGAGAGTTAATCACTAATTAACTACAAAATAGTGATTAAAAAAGTGATTAAGAGTTTTATACAACCGGCCCCTGCAAAAAAACTAAATATACAGGCATGCTACAAGAAATTGTGGTTAGAGCTCGACAACTGGTCACTGGAGCTCAGTTATAGAGCGTTGCACCAGAATCGCAGGGCCTATAATTGCCGTATTTTTCGCAACTGCTCCTGGTATAGGTCTACAATTGTGTGTAGTCGGGCGCTGGAAATTTCCATCTGAAATACCGGGTGGCCCAAAAAAAAGTACTCCTGTTTGATTCGTAATAACATCTAAACAACTATAGCTTTTAAAGAGAAATAACTTGCATCAAATAGAGGAAGGACTAACTTAGACTTTGATATATTACAGTTGTATTTCACTTAAAAATTCACGGAGATATTAATCTTTAAATTCGGGAGGGTATTTCTGGATGTGTCTGAAATATGCAAAAATCGGCGTATCAAATATTAATCAAGATTTGCCCGACTGAAACATGCACTATTACCAGTAAATAAATGACACTTGACAAATTGTTTATTATGAAACAAAGTATTATTATGTCTACAAAATACAAGCAAGATTCATTCGTCCGAAATTCGCGTGTGTTCCTAGCACGAATACGTTTCCTTATTTCATGAGACCACTGCATCGCGAAGGATCGTCATTGGATCGTTCGTAGTTCTGAATTAGGGCATGCTGTCACAACGGAATTGTGAAGCTCTTCTAACTTCTGCAACGTTCTGAAATCTTGTTAAGAACACCCAAACTCTTTTGCCGTTTCTTAATCTTGGCAAGTTCATGGAGTAAACTGAGAATTATATGAAACACAATCAAACCATACAACTCCATAAGACATAACAATTAAGCAACTCCCCAGAGACATGCAACATTTTTGGAACAAAACGTAACAAAATAGTAGCGTTGATACGGTGATGTGTATTTGCAAAAAGCAATATTATTTCCTTCAAAAAAAGAATATTCATCCTGCTCTAACCGAGAAATAATCTACTCAGTTTGTTTGAACCCATTAAAAACATAAAAAAATTAGGCTATTTAAGAATACGAAAAATTTAAGCGCCTGCCTTCCATGGTCAGTTTTTCATGTACATTTAAGTTTGCAAAGACCTAATATTAAATACTTGCAAAATTTCGAACGTTCATATTTCAGGAAACAATGAGCTAAGACTTACATGTAAGATGTCTAAATCTACGCCATATCCCTTACAAACCTTAACGATAATTCGCTGAAATACAAGTTAGCCTAATATGTCATTAAGCAAACAAACGCTGGAGTTAATATTTGATATGCCGATTTTCGCTAATTTTAGACACATTCCAAAACATGCTCCCCATTTTTAACATTAATATATCCGTGAATTTTTACGTTAAATACAACTGTAATATATCAAAATCTAAGTTAGTCCTTCCTCTATTTAATGCAAGTTATTTCTCTTTAAAAACTTTACTTGTTTAGAAGTTATTACGAATCAAACAGGAGTACTTTTTTGGGGGCCACCCGGTATATATGTTATTTACCGGCTGCGAGGTCCGGATGAGAAAAACTGTGCCCGAGGTCTTGAAAACGGCCCGAGCCCGAAGGGCGAGGGACGTTTTCAAGACCGAGGGCACAGTTTTTCTCATCCGGATCGACGCTGCCGGTAAATAACGTGTTTATTTTTTATCAGATGAAAAATTAAATTCATTAAAATTCCAGTGTTGCTTGCGAACTGGCAGATTCTTTCGTTTAAAAATTGTTTCACTCCTCGGTTTTTGGCGCGAAAACCAGAGCGGGCAGTTGCATTTCACAGCGGGCAGTTGCGTTTCAGAGCGGGCCGGATGCAAAAAACCGGCCCGCTCTGAAAGGCTCCTCAGCCAATCAGATTGCTTCATTTTCACTGATAAAAAATAATGTATATTATCTCCGCTCGAAATTTCTATCTATAATAATCCTTCAACTGTTAGTCGTATCGAGTGAAATGCCAAAAATCTCAATAAAGATCTAGATCGTAACCATTAATAAAGGCCATGCTACGCGACGTTTGAAACAAGCCTAAGATTTTTCAAGAATACGAGTTGGACGGGCGTTACATTTTACAGAACTACATATACGTTCGCAAACACAAACGACTTTTGCGGGTCTTCCATGCCGGCTTTCTGCTCAGCTTGTTGGGTTATAGGCCAACATTGATTGGTGGCGAGTTCCTGTCCTTTATATCTGGTCCACTACTCTACCTGTTGATAAACATCACATAGAAAATCAGAGATACTTACGGCTGGCACAAAATTCACCGACGTATCCCGGTGCGCATACGCAAGTGCCGTTCTTGAGGTCACAATATGCTCCATTCAGACAATCTGCGCAGGTCAGTGCACATCCGGGACCAAACAAACCAGACGGGCAACCTATAAGGACAAATTTGTCGTTGGAGTTATATGTTGCCAGTTTGAACAGCAACAAGAAGAATTAGGTGATCTGGTGAAGGGAATAGGTCTTGTCAAATCAGACTTTTCAAAAATTGATAATCACCTCAACTGTCTGGTATTTTTGTTGCTCTAACATGAAGTCCTAAATTTTAATACATATATGGCCTAAACCGACGTACATAGGGTAAACGCAGCATTGTCAGCACAGCGTTCAGTGTTGATTGACAATTTTCACATGTCTTGACTGATTCCGCACCGAGAATTAAACGCATGATTTAAGAGAAGTAATCTTTATAAATTCCTAAAATTAGAGTAATTCTTAATGTAACTATGTAGTAGATATTAGTCAGACCACTATCTATTCTATTGTTTTATCTTGTTTAATTTTATTATATCAGCTTATTGTAGTTTAATATATAGGTTCAGGTCCTTTTTTAAAAATCTACTGATTAAATATTATTACTATACTACCATATTATGTGAGTGTCGCTCCTACAACTGCACGTCCGAATCCTCAAAATCTCGAATCGAATGTAAACTTGAAATTTCAATCATCGCTAGTAGTACATCGCTAGTAGTACATCGCTAGTAGTACATCGCTAGTAGTACATCGCTAGTAGTACATCGCTAGTAGTACATCGCTAGTAGTACATCGCTAGTAGTACATCGCTAGTAGTACATCGCTAGTAGTACATCGCTAGTAGTACATCGCTAGTACTACATCGCTAGTAGTACATCGCTAGTACTACATCGCTAGTACTACATCGCTAGTACTACATCGCTAGTACTACATCGCTAGTACTACATCGCTAGTACTACATCGCTAGTACTACATCGCTAGTAGTACATCGCTAGTAGTACATCGAATTATAATAGGCCTAGTACTTGCTATTCCGGTGCTGAACTGTTCGAAGGTCGACGTCTTAGTCGCAAGGCTAACAACGAAGAGAACAGGAATTCTCTATTTAATCCTGGAAAAACTGTTCAAGCAAAACGAACGATTCAAGAATCACGTTTATCAAGTTCCATCCTTCATTCACAGAACTCGGTTAAATCGAAACTTTCTTTCACTTACACGTCAAAAAGGTTTGAATCCATGCGATCATAAATCACACAAAGAAGGATGATAGGTCTTTAAACGATTGCTCTATTTTAGGAATTAGTTTGTGTGAATAATTTGTCGTGTGTTTGTAACTAAGAGAGACGAAGCATAACGAATGCTCTGTCGTGACTACAAAACAAGCAAATAGTACTTACGTGGAACAGACTTATCAGTAGAATTTTCAATCTCCAGTTCTCCTTGACCTTCAGTTGTCCTATCACCGCTTCCAAAACTTCTCGTCAACGGCGAGGTTGTTGGAATAGCTAAATTGAACCAATATATACACCACGTAAATCAGTTCAATTATATATTTATCCTATATATATATATATATTTTCCATTCCAAGTGTATACCATGGAATACTCGGGCAAAACTAATGTCATTGTACGAGGAAAAGAAAGCATAAGAGAAAGTAATAAAAAAATTATAGTAATAAAAAAAATATTATACTATCAATTAATTTTAGAAGGAAAACTGTTACTCCTTCTAGAAACATCAAGTCATTTTAACTTGTAAATAATGAATTTAAATTTGTGATTTAACTTTCATTTGTTTCTTGTAATTCTTTCTAAAATGTTGGCGCTAAATAATTTTTTTAACTTTTGTCCTGGGTTATTTCAATTCATGAAATAAAGTTATCCGTGCATGTAGACTTGCAACAAGTCCTCCTCAGAATTGTTTCACTAGCCTATTGTCCATGGCGAATAAGATGGAATCTATTGAAGCACGGAGCAATTCAATATAGGGCTAGTATATTTGGTGTCGTATACTACAATACTTCAATTAACCCTGTAAAAATGCTAGGCGGAACCATTATGGTCATATGAAGAGGCTCAAATCACGCCCGGGTTAACCTCTAGAGCCTCTTGCAAGAAAGAGCCCACATGTGTATAATAGTTAGGTATATTGTTATGCTTAAGTTGATTGACTGGTTGAATCATCAAATGATAAATTGATTGATCGATTGACTGATATATAAAATAAAAGCATCCAAACCTTTACAATTCACTTGATCAGCCTGAAGCTCAAAACCATTTTCGCATCCGCATTTGTACGATCCTTCCATATTCAAGCATTTTTGAGAACATTTTGACATTTTCTAATATTGAGTAAAAAATGAAATTGACAAACAACATTTAATAAAGACTTCCTATAGTGCTATTTATAGGGTTTTCACTAATGGGTAAATTCGGCCCTTAGACAGATTAAAATCGACATATATAGAGTAAGCAGGCTGTTGCATATCTCACATGACTCACCGTTTGGCATTCGTCAACATCGTCACACAAGAGGGAGTCGTTGATATTGGTTTTAAAGCCTTCTTTACAAACACACCTTAAATTAGAAGACAGTACAAGTTTGTTCAAATCTATCACAAAACGAAAAGCCTTCTTGTCTAATATAGACATCACATGGGGACCATCACCCAATACAAATATTATATAATGCAAATTCCACCATGCATGATCAAGCAATTTCCTACTTGCCCGATGTGGGCATAATTTGCAGAAAATTATGTAAAATACATAATATAATGTATAATGTGAAATGGTTGTATGCTAGGCCGAAGAACGCTACCTACATGCAGTATAGTGATTATTCAACCATCCTGAAAACACCTGAAAAACTGTGAAACATGTATATGGACCTCGCAATTAATAAAAAGAAACGATAATATGTAAATACTTATGTTTGGTCCGGGTTGCCCCAGTCACTGGTCAATTTTAAGAAACTTGAAAAATTCTGTGAATCGCACTATCCGGCCTTCGTTCAACCGGACCCTGAATATCATGTAGATGACAATACAAACGCGTACATGTAAGAGCCAGCTGTATTTCTACAATAGTGTTGACAGCCACCATTACCATCACTGCACTCGTTTATATCTAAAGAAACATAATTAAGTATTATATTAATTACATTTAATTCATATATTTCGAATTTACATTTCATATATATAGAATTTTAATAATGAAGAGCAAAAAAAAAAATTCGGCGCTTATAGTTATTTAAATAAAAAATCGCATTTGAGAAGAAAGCTTTTCCAGACCAAAATGTTTTATTTTGCGCAGGAAATATTTTTTGCCAAATCGAAAAATCTGAAATTGAAGCATGAATTAACCTTGTTGATTTACAAAGGATTTTTGTGCAATTTCTCCAGGATTTACTTGCAGATTGGGAAATTTAGCGCAGTTTTCCACATTGAATTTTTTCGAAAAATTGAAGAATTTTTGCTCAGGAAATTGATTTCCACCAAAAGCAAACCTTTTTAGTCTGGGAGCTTCCAGTTTTACTCTACCAAACACCGCTGGTTTCCTCCAGGTACTCCGGGGCCTTGGTGGAGATCAGTTAAGAACTGATAGAGTTATCGAGTACATATAAACTGTGTATGATCCAATAGCATTGCAAGTCCTACATTCGCGCCAGTCTTTGGGACTTAACTACTCGTTACCAAGGATCTTCCCTTAGCGAGTAAAATCGCCAGAAGATACTCGAAAACAAGCACCCCAAAACCGTTTCGTAAATTAACATGGCGTACTTTACCAGCACAAGATTTTCCATCAGACAGGAGTTTATAACCAGTTTTACATTCACATCTTTCTTTATAATCATGGACGATCAGACATGTATGATCACAACCACCATTCTTTACACTGCAGGGTGAATGTTCTGTGGTGTAAATGAGCAAAAAAAAAGCACAAGCTCTGAAGGGATTAGCATAAATGGAATAACAGGTGTAGGCTAAGCAAAACATACAAAACGTAGGTCGGTAAGACCTAACATCCTATGATGATAAAAATATCTTGTGGTTCCTGAAAAAATAGGACTAATAGGGTAGGTAGAGCGGAAAATTTTATTAATTCTTTTTAAAAACATTTTCGCTTCGCATTGATCAGCAATGGGCCAATGGCTATGAATGAAATCAGTTAGCATAAGTATAAACACATAAAAATTTCAAAGAACAATAACTGTGGGCAATGGACGTTACGTGGTGTCATAAAGCAAGCAACGAAAAAAAGAGGGTCGGTATAGGTAAGAAGGACATCCAAAAAACCTATTAGGGTCAGCATAAAAAGAAGGAGGTCCAGGAAACCGGTACCATGGGATAGTTTTTATCAGTACTGAAAAAGCTGAAATCGACTGATGTAAAGGTACTCACCTTCGCATGTTTTCTTGTTGACGGACAACGTATTTCCAGATTTGCAGCGGCATTCGAACGAACCCTCCGTATTGACACATGTCTGTTGGCATCCTCCGTTGTTGATCTGACATTCGTCCTCATCTGAAATGTTTGGGGAATATATTTTATTTTTATTCCATCCCATTCCATTACTCAGCTCACTCCTCATCGCGGGGCAAGTATTACGTTTACTTATGTTACCAACTTATCCTAGACTATTTTTTACAACAATAGACAATTCCCATTATAAACCAATTTTTTATCATGGCAAAAAAGTATATTCCCGGAAAGAGCATACTAAAATTAATAAAATTGCAAAGTTTGGTTGCGAAATGTTGTAAAATGTGGAAAATATAGCCTTGCAAAGTTCGCAAATTTTGTATACTTTTGTATTGCGTGAGGATATTACTACTACATTTGGGCCGAAAATGGTAGCAATTTCCGCACGCAATACAAAAGTATACAAAATTTGCAAACTTTGCAAGGCTATATATTTTACGCATTTTACAATATTTCGCAACCAAACTTTGCAATATTACTCATTTTAGTATGCCCTTTCTAGCTGTGGTGATTTATTTGCATCTCCATGCCTAGTTTTAAAATTAGTCTGCAATGGGAATTGTCTATTGTGATATTACTTTCCTTACTATGTTTATCCTCACCCACCCTGTCAACGTTCCCTGCATGTGGGAGGAAACAGAAGCGCGCGGAGAAAACCCACGACTTTCATCAGACCGGTGATAGACTAGCTTTACACATGCATGACTCCGTGTGAGAATCGAACCCAGGACTCCATTATTCAATATCCCTACCTGCATTATTCAATATTCCTACTTTCAATTGACCATTTGCGTAATAGACTAAATTTTGAACTAAACAAGTCTAGACAAAAATTTCATCACAGCTTGAAGGAGCATCACAAAATTAGTAATATTCCAAAGTTTCGTTGCAAAATGTTGTAAAATGCGGAAAATATAGCCTTGGGAAATTTGCAATTTTCAGTCATTTTAGATTACAAACGGGAAATTGACAGCCCCAAACCCTTCGAGGCTGTCAATTTCCGGTTTGTAATCTAAAATGACTGAAAACTGCAAATTTCGCAAGGCTATATTTTCCGCATTTTACAACATTTTGCAACGAAACTTTGGAATATTACTAATTTTGAGATCAAAATTTAGTCTATTACGCAAATGGTCAATTAAAAATTCCTAAAATACCAGGCCAATATTTCTCAAAATTTTATTTCGAATATTTATATTCCGATTATCAATTTTCAATATTCCTAACATAAATATTCGTATTCAAACTACATAAATACCCAATATTTAATATTCCGCTTCCACCACTCCCCCCCCCCCTTCCATTCCAGATCCGGACAGTTAAACGAGGATGAGTTAATTGAGAAACGAGAGTTTTCTCAAATCTCATGTCCCTGTCAAAGAGAACATGAATTGCATGAGAGTTTCAATATTATTTCTCAAATTCATTAATAATTCATGAGTAATTAAACCAATAGCATGTAAGCATTCCGTCACAAGATGCTGTTTGGATACCGCGGTCAAACACCGTCAGACACAGCACCAGAAGAGTTTAGCTGCATACGTAATTAAGATATTTGATGAAAGTCACTAGTGTTTTCATCAAATACCTTAATTACGCATGCAAAATTACTTGAATAGAATTCCTAATTACGTTATGCTTGGTTAAGAATTCTATTCAAATCAGCAAACGAGAACATTCTGTTGCGTCTCGATTCATTTGAGAAGCCATATAAACAAACTCGAGCTCGTGTCTCACTGGGATATCCAAACACTCGAAAACAATGTATGAAAACACTCGCGCTTCTCGCTCGTGTTCTCATACATTGTTTTCTCGTGTTTGGATATCCCGGTGAAACACTCGCTCTCGTTGTTCATATATTACTTCTCAAATTCATTAATAATTCATGAGCAATTCAGCCAATGATAATCACCTATTTGATCACAAGATGCCATTTGGATACTTGATGAAAGTCACTAGTGTTTTCATTAAATATCTTAATTACGCATGCAAAATTACTTGAATAGAATTCCTAATTACGTTATGCTTGGTTAAGAATTCTATTCAAATCAGCAAACGAAAACATTCTGTTACGTCTCGATTCATTTGAAAAGCCATATAAACAACTCGAGCTCGTGTCTCAACGGGATATCCAAACACTCGAAAACAATGTATGAAAACACTCGCGCTTCGCGCTCGTATTTTCATACATTTTTTTCTCGTGTTTGGATATTCCGGTGAAACACTCGCTCTCGTTGTTCATATATTACATAGCTTTTCCCACCCTCGCCCTCCCTCCTAAATAGCGCCTGCTACGCAGGCTAATATCTTTGTGGAAAACGCTTCTGCATGCGCGCTTATTTATTTCGCAAAGCTTTATTCGATCCCTAACACGCAGATTCTCATCAAGGCAACGAAAATCCGTGCTTAGCCTTAGGGATAAAGGACATTTCTAAATAAAGTAATCAGGGATTCTCATGTCGAAGTCTGTTTGTATTTTTACAGCCGGTCTTCCTATATAAAGCTGCTGTTTTTTACACATGCAAGACAAAATAATTAACAAAGTAGAGCCTAGGTGGAAGGATGTTTGCTACACTGTATGTTTAGAGTAGAGACCTTAAAGCAGGGCGGCAACGCGACAGCGCTTACGGCTATATCCATACAATGATTCTCGTTATCTCAGTGGTAAAAAATGAATACTTAATTAAATGCCCCACGCCGGGATTTGGGCAATTGCTGCCTACCTCCATGCAGAAGTCGGATCCCCCCCCCCCCCCGCCAGTCTCTGGGTGACTAGTAGTAGTCTTAACCATTGCTCTGAACTGCCATAAATGGATAAAGGTGTTCCTATGACCCCAAATTTTCATAATTTTCCCGACTTAAAAATCGTTTTGATTTCTGAGATCGAGATTTAATTAATCATATATAGTTTGAGTTACAGTAAAATATTAAAAGTTAATTAGTTAAAGTTATTACTTCCCCTTCTTATAAATCTAGCTCGTTCCTTTGGGCAAACCTTTACAGCGCAAATTGTTCCTTTTTGGAACCAGTGTGCCCACTGAAAATTCCTTAAAAAGGCTCTGGCTTGCGCGATTTTTACAACGACAAAACAGAAATTTTCACGTCTCTTTGTACAACGCAAACATTTCAAGCTGTGAAAAGTTGTACTATATATGAATTGGCCCAGTAAATGTTTTAACCATAATGTAAGCATTACACAACAACTTTTCCTCACATGCAGTGTGATTTATTCCAAGAAGTTTGTTTTGGCTGTTCGTCGTTATACATTGATGATATGCATCAACTGAGGCCCCAAGGCGAAGGACTGTCAAGACTTTTTCGCTATAATGTTGGATGAAATTTTAATTGCAGTGGTGACAATGACGTAAAATAGGGGTTGACCAAGTCCGGATGATATCATTTTCGGCAATGATTCAATTACGATTTATGCTGTATCAATTCATCGATTCCACATGCATGTATGACATCACTGCGTCTTATTAGGTGCCGTCTTGGCTGATTCTAGAATTCCTTGGTTTTATCTTCATGTATAGTCAGGGATAAAATTATAATGAGGTCAAGGTCAACGAGGAATGTATTCGTGCGCCAAACATGACGATATTACCAGTTTCCCTAGCCTAGAGTGAAGTATACATATGCACTTTATGTTAATTTCTGTTCCATAGCTGGCTCGCATTCAATCTCCATAGTGAAGTACACTTTATGTTAATTTCTGTTCCATAGCTGGCTCGCATTCAATCTCCATCTCAGAACAATAATAATTAATAAATAATTAATATTAAATTTAACTTTACATCATTATTTGTGAAAATAGTTATTCATAAAAGTAGTTAAGAATAGTTAAAAATGGACATCTAGACTTTTAAGTATAGATTTCGAGGGGTAAGTTACTCCGAAAAGAGCGTACGAAGATTTTTTGGATTAGAAAATTCCGGCAATTTTTCTGCTGATTCTGGTATTTTATTCCAAAAATTAAGGGATTTTCTGATTTTTTCAGATTCTTTTCGGAATATTTTCCCTTAATTATTTTTCGCCCAACTTTTTCCGCAATTTTTTGCGATATATTGTCCATCGAACTTCTAAACGAAGTAAACCATTGAAGTAAATCACGCGAATTCACGATTTAAATTTTAACTTTGATATTTAAATATTACAATAATTTTGAGAATTTTATTGGATTTTCTCCAAGTATTTTATGCAATTTTTAGATATTTCTTGGGATTTTGGGATTCTAGGATTTAGTAAGATTTTGGGATTTTTCCGGCAAAGATTTTTTTTATTTTTGATGAAGTGTACGAAGATTTTCAGAGAAATTTACCCCTTGGTTGATTTCAAGGCGTTTGGAGTTAAATTGATACTCCAAAGAGCACAAATGATGGCCTTCAGTGGCACAATCGTGAAATCGTGTATTCCGATTCGCATGACGGACACAAGTCCACGCTCTACTGAAAGTACGTCGTGGGTTTTCTCCGGCCCTCCAGTTTCCTTCCATGGCCATACATGGGGAATGAAGACAGGTTGAGTTGGGTTTACCCCCTAATTGACTCGTCGGGCCACCGCATATGGTGTATATAGCTATAGCTGTGCTCTGTTCAACATAGCACTTTCCAGTGGTTGCAGGCTTTCATTTGCTTGCGGAGCGCTACATATAAACGTGCGCTACGCAGGCTATATGGTCAAGTTGATCTTTCAGCTGCAAGTAAGGATGTTTAGCACACCCCAACATACTAACTTACTATAACCAAATTAAAGGAGTTACATTTCAACAATTCCGTATGTATTCCAAAGTTTACTCCAATGGGATTCAAACCAAAGGAGTAAAAATAAGCATTGAATCACTGAAACATTGGAAGACTAAAAGGAATACATAATATTCTTCTTGTATCATGTAATCTTTTTCTAGCTCTAGGAGGTAGTTAATTAATACCGTTTACTCAACCAAGATGTATTCCAGTGCAAAAGGCTAATCAGTGATAGCGAACACCCTAGATGGGAATAAATGCAATTGTTTTCATTAGTCATAGAAGTTTTACTGACAGGATTCCTTCTTCAACAATTAACAGCCGGCTTTTAACAAGCATTGTTGTGCTTGTCAACTAAAATTATCACTGCATGCTTGTCACTTTCTCGGGCAATGACAATTATCTTATTAGGGTTATCAAAGAAAACGTGTTAGCGTTTTCCATTTATATGACACATTTATCTTCTATACGACGTAGAAGGACATTCGTGAGCTATTAACAAGCAAACCATATTTGCATGCAAATTACATTAATTATATATTAATCTATTTAATATGCAGAGCATTTAGTTCAATTATAAAAAGGTTTCTAGAAGAGTACTTGTTAAGGTTTCTTGAAGAGGTTTTTAGAAGAGCACTTGTTTACCAAATAATTTGTCCAATTTAAATTGTCAAAAAGGTCAAATAATGCTTAGCAAAGTATTTAAACATGTTATGCACTAGTTAATTGAAACCCTGCCCCCCCCCCCCACGACCCCCGGGACATGGCGGGGAATTAACGAGTGAATAGCCGTGGATTAACGCGGTCTTAATGCACCATTTCCCCTGGGGTACAAGGTAAATAACAAGTCAATTTATTAGCCGTGACAACAGCCGGGACTTTAACGCGGGCTGATATGAAAGTGGACTGGAACCTCCTCGTGGCAACATATCGGAGTCTTCGAAATTAGAGAATTGTTTCCTCGTAGTTTTCTTTAAAAAAATAAGAAAAATATTTTCACTTTTTATATATTCCTGATGATGACTGCAAGATAGTCGAAACGTAGATTACTCAGTATCTTTTGATGCGGATTAAAGTTTAAGATCAAGAATTGCCTTCACATGTTGTGAACATTTTATACTTCAACGATTTCCCATTTTCCAAGTCATGAAAATTTGCAAAGTGCCGGGGCCACATGAGCGGTAACTTTAACAGTCAACGTCCACCCGTTAGCTGGGAAATTACCAAAATTTAACATTGTCAAAATGTTAATTTCCCCGCCTTATCCCGGGGTCGGGGGGGGGGGTTTCAATTGACTAGTGCATTTCACAAGCATCCTTATGAATTCAATGAGTCAATTTCGAAGCCAGAATATTTCTAATGAAGAGAGATTTTTTAAATGTGTTAATATCCAGATACCATGCACCAGACCTTTAAACTTCAGTTGAATCGTTTCGTGTTGAAATTAATTATACTAACTATGAAGCAAATGTGCCATGTGACTTTATAAGCTTACTATACTTTTTCTAAATGAGTTTTAGAAAATTTTGAACACTATATATGTGCACTGAGCCATAGATGACTCATACTTACGTGTAACGTCATTAGTTAAGTTAAGGTTACAGGACACCCTTTTTGGCGTTTTGTGGAAAATCGCTACTGCGCGCTCAAAATCTGTCCGATTTTCATCAAATTTTCACCAAATGTTAGCCAGTGCATGCAAAATATGATAAAGTTGTAAAATTGGCAAACAGTAAAATAATGTAAGAATTATTCAGGAAAATCTTAAGTCGCGGTACCTTTACGCTTTTGAGTTATGTTCCTGCTGGTTTTAAGATACAGTAAAATAGTTGTTTTTATACAGTAAAATAGTTGTTCCAAAAAATTGTGTTCGGAAATTTTTGTTTGATTTTCTTTTACGACTGCAATTAATATATTTCTGAATCGTTTGTATGAATATCTTCTTATAATTAAAATATGCAAAATTAGAACAAAACCGAATACTATTTTGAAAAGGACGTCTTTAGTTATATCCTGTGAAAATTAGAGAAAAATTCGTTAAAACCCGCAGGAGCGCAACTCGTTTAAAAATCAGTAATTGTCGTAAAATTCTTCGGGAGAAAATTGAATTTGAATATTACATTTTCAATGTTTTTCTTATTGCAAGCGAAATGTATTTTATTAAATAACTCTGCGAGTTTTCAACATTTTTCGTCCAAACTTGGTCAGATAGTAGAACTAGTCTAATGCTTTCATGGAAACCAATAAAAAAATTTTAGGCAAAATTAACACTCAAAGGTGTTCTGTAACCTTAATAAGAAAGAGAGATCATTGCTTACTGGCCAATATTGATCTAAACAGCATTTAGTCTCCTTTCCCATCAACAACTAGAAAATTTTGGAACCTCTTCTATAACATGTCAGCAACACCACAGCCATTGATTTCATTTGTGCCCGATGGATCCAGTTCTGTAGTTTACAGATCAGTGGTGTGAACTATCTGTAGGGGGTGCATGCGTGTGATGAACTTATCTTTCACTGTAGTAGGAACACTCATTACAAGTGTTCATATTAGGCCATTTTCCAAATTACTTAAATTGATATAGGCTTTAATTAATGTAGAAAAGTTCATATATTTAATTGTAGTGTGAAAGGTTGCTACAAAGATAAACTTGTCAAGAAAATGTATATCGTATGTTGTGTGTATCGTGTTTTATGTGATATTTCTATCTTGTTTTGACTGGCGTAGACGTTATATGTTATCAAGCCATATCTGAACTTTGATAGTTATTCAAAAAATCCCATTTGTCGATAACAACTCATTAATAAGTATTTCGCCCAAGGGGCAAGTCACCGATTATTAATTTAATCACGTAACCACATCTTCAGAAAATCACAAAAAAATTCAAAAATCACAAAAAAGTAAATATAATTATCGCAAATAACAGAAATCACAAAAATATCACAAAAAATATCGTACACTTTTTAGGAGTGATTTTCCCCTCTACTTTTGCCCATGAACTAATTTATACATGTTATGCATGCAGCTATTTAATATAATAATTAAAATTATAGATTTGGCATACTGTTTATGCCCTGTCTTGATTATATTGACCATTGCCATCGGAGATTTTGTGAACGGAAACAATGTAAAAATTATAATATTTTTAAGTATTGTTTTGTTATATTTAGTTTACTTTTAAATTTTCCGGCATAAATGGCAAAGCGTAGCCAGCACGAACAAATCTTCTTCGCTACTTTAGCAGATTAAATTACTTTCCGCAAGTCTTTCATTGGGTCATAGAATAAAGATCCATACAGAAGGGCCACTTACGTCGGAAGCTTTGAAGTTTCTGTCCTCGCACATGTCGCATTACGCATGTTGGTCGCCATTTTCCTAGCCAGTCAACGACATTTTCTGGCCAATAAACACGCTGTACTGACTGGCTGCTCCGCCTTCTGGCCAGTAAACTGCATATTTTTGCATAAAAAAAACAAGGACACGTTGCACCGCTGAATGGCCCTTCTGTTACTGATCTTTATTCTGTGATTGCGTGGAGTAAATGAGGTAAGGCAAAGCAATGCATTATCATAATTTAACTCAAGCTTTTGGAGATATATACTCAATATTAACTTACTCAACTTAAGTAATAAGGATCTTTCAGGGCAGGGACCGTTTTCCTGTGTTCCTTTGGAAATTGTTCCTGCGTTCCATTGTTCCCCACAAAGATTTCATCATGTTCCCTTGTCTTCCCCTTATACCCTACCACTTTTTGAACTTGTTCCTGTGTTTCCATATGTGGCTCGTTCACTTGTTCCCTGAGGAGCAGACCCTCAGTAATAACATTCCTATTTGTAAGCAAACTAATTATTTTGTTTAATTAAGCGTGATAGATATATTAGCCATTAGGTTCTTAAGTCTTAAATATAAAGCCATTCAAATTTTTATAGTAGTCCGATTCGTACAGCTTTGACAGTTCTAAATTGTTTTAATTGCTATAAGCCTATGCCTCTAGAAGACCAGTGGGGGGTCTCGGTAGTATGTCACTATACAGGATTAATTCAAGGCCTTTTTACTGAAGGATTCGTCATTGAGGTGGGAGAAGCACCAAGGTAAAGATACCGCCTATAACGGGTAGGAGGTGAACTAGAAAAGTGCAAATTTGTAGTGGTTTTGCAGGGACCACTCCCAGAAAATTTCGGGAGTTTTAGCCTTTTAGCCTTTCAGACATAATAACTCTTTTTTTCATCCACAGCTCAAAGGTTTGATCATGGGAATTTTAATTTATTAGCAAATTTACTCAAGTAAATCTTTACTCAAAACATTTTGCAAATTTGAAATTTTAATTAAATTGAGTTAATTATATTTGTCAATTAATTTGTGTCAATTTTCCTCAAAATTTTAAGTCACTGTTGGTGCGGTATTTCATAATCAATTATTTCCTGTGTAGTTAAGTTATTCTTCCCCTTTAGCTCATATTTTAGTCAAAAAGTACTCCTGTACCTCAAAATGGAGTACGAGTGAAACATTTTTCACTGGAGGGTCCAACATGTGGGCTTGCCGCCCCTCTTTATATGCTGAAAGAGGCTCTATAGAGGGAACTAAAGTATATATGGAGAAAACCTGGCAGTGGTTGGTAGAGTTGATAGAGTTACGACTACAATGGTGAATTATGAGATAAACTGTATATATAGTACATTTCAAGAATTTTAAACTAGAGTCGATCCCTAATAATCACCAAAATCCGATTTGTTCTCTACTGATGATGACGTAGCGTGTATATCCATTCTTTAATCAAACCACAAAATTATAGCTATAACTTAAATATATAAATATTGGACTTCGATATTTACAAAAAACAAAATTTCCTTGTGGCGATTATATTTAATAGAATATAGACATGATTTAGCGCATATTTTATATACTTACTCATATTTTGTTTCAATTTGCTTGCGGACATTAAAAAGTAGGGTAAGCGACAGTACACAGCTTAAAATTAAGCTCTTCCTTATTTGGCTGCTTAATAACTTAATTTTCTCGTGAGAGGGAATGAAATCGCGGGTAGAAAGAATCTCTTTGTTTCGAAAACAGAATGGTAGTTTCCGTTCTATTGGGGTCACCCGCTGAAGAGATTTTGAGGCGAGAATCATCCTTTGACCGACGGCTGTAGTTTTAAACTGATCTTGAGAAAAGGTAAACATTCTATGTTGTAAAACAGTTAAGGAATTTAAAAATATAATAGTTGACAGGTAGCTTAAACAACACAGGCAATACACATGCAGTAAATGCTCTCTCATTTATATACCGATTTACGCTGCATGGTATCTCGAAATTTCTAATTCCTCATTTCCTTAGTATTAACGCATCACACAATACCGCAATCTGGATTTTACGTACTACATAAAAGTTTACGAAATTCCATTCTGTTTGTTTAATCTTTATCGATAAAAACCGTGGACACACGTGGCTTTTGCGATCATAATCATCTGTTACTAAATTCTAGGCCATGTATTTAATGTAATTAAATCTGGCAATCTTGCTGACACTCATTTGAACACCGCCTGCGCATTATAAACGTTTTTGCTTCGATCATGCACAAGAGCGCGATTTACTGGTGATATAATTCGAGGAAAGAATATTAAATCAGTGATCCATTTGCTCGCTTCGGTTACACAGGTATGTTAAAATAGCCAACTACATATATAGGCAAAATCATCGTGCTTGTTAATGTAAGCATACTCGAATTGTACCTTCACACAGCGCTTGGAAGCGGCGAAAGCGCAAATCCACGCAACAGATATAAATACATTGAGGCATTTCGCAAGCTGTCATGGAACGCTTTTGATTAATTGGCCAACATTCATCGAAGACAATAACAAACAATTCTTTTTAAGCTTTTTATCTCTTTATATAGTCTAGTATATAGTGGCTTTTCATTCTATAATACCCAGGGTGACATATTCCATACAAGGTATTATTGCCAATAGCGCGGTTGTTGCTACTCTTTGCTAGGGCTCAGCGGAGGTCCGAGGTAAAACAATACGATCTATACAATCGTAATTTTCTTCCAATCCATCATTTATACTATTGAAACAATCGCTAAAAAATATGCAGCCAAATTCCGTCAATTTTTGCACATGGAATTAATTTGCGAGCCCTTGGCCTAACGGTGCAGTGTGAATGACAATATTGTCGAGCTATCAGTTATCGCTCAGTTGTAAAAGTCACAACCCTGTGCGAACACAAAGGATATAAGGCAAACGCATTTGGAAACACAAATACAAAGGTCAGTGTTGTTCTATACTCTTCGACGTAAACACCAACAATCTTCCTTTATACTCATCTGTTTCGTGAGTTATAAATAATTCTTTGTGGTTGGCGTATACTGTAATCTGTATCGTTGTCGACATTAATACACTGTGTATATATAACAAACATATTGACAGTCGTATGATGGAGCATATTATATAAGTTATTCAGCCAAATTACATAGCACTGACAACAGACAACAGACAAAAGCACATTGTATACAACCTACGGGTTAAATACAAAAATCCTTGTGCCGTAGTGTGCATTGAATATACGGTCTAAACTCAAATATAATGTTTTTACTATTAGTATGCTATACATGTTTAAATTGCATTTTAATCGGTGTTGGTAGTCATCTTCATTCATGTTGTAAAATGAAGCTTAATAAGACATTTCTATAGGCTGAAAAATTTTGATTCTGCTATATACTTCTATAGGCTATAAAACATAATATCTATACAGTGTGTACACGTTGGCATTTGCGCAGAAAATGTTCATGTCAATATATAATACTATTTAAATGAATTGCATTAGACTGTTTTCCGATATCGTTTTCTATATCGTTTTAAAAGACAAACTTCAGATGTTAATTCATTTATCGCTCCCACTAAATACCCTAAAGTATGTTTGTTGCAGACATCTCCAATTTCTGGTACTGATACAGAATCTACACGATTATCATTGGGATTAGGTCGGAATAGCCAAAACGTCCGGGCCAAAAGGTGTTCAGCTTAGTGCATATCCCATGCGCATTTTACCTTGATAACTTCAGGGAGGGCAATAGTCCATATATATTTTTAGTTTTGCTACGGTAGTTTAATATTCACAAGCATGTAAGATTAGTCGTATCAAATGACATCTCTCATTACACGCTTTCTTTGGGCGTAATTTCCGCGGAGTAAGAACCAAATATAGCTTCACGTTTGACATTTCAAGCCTTCTTTGCACGTTACGCAAAGGTCGAAACATCCAGGCAAAGCGGACGTTATTAGACTTCAGCGAAGCATATTTTAGCCCGCAATGTAAGCTTGTATGCGTACCTCATAAATGTCAGCACAGTTGGTAAACAATAGCGGGCATCATGCAGCGAACTATTAATAACATTTAATTTTAAATTTAAGCACTTGAGAATGATAACATGTTTGCGTAGTAAGTAGTTCGTCTAGTCTGAATGATCAGTCCACTTGGTGTAGGGAATTGCAGCTCGTTATCTTTCTCGACAAGCTGTTGGCACGTATTTGGCCCTTTCATTCCACAAGATCCCATCTGTTCCATCTACCCGTGAACTTGTGTGGATATCAGCATTTGTGGATATTTGTGATATTTTCAGCTCGATCTGTATTCAATACTGTGTAGTTGTTCTTATTGACTTGTTGAGGTATTAAATTGAACATACTTAATCTTATTATTAATCTAAAGATTAGTTTATTTTATACTGGCACTATTTTATATACACCAAAATTGTATACATTTGGAAGTTCTATCCAAATTGTGTTCACTTCATAATTTACATTATATTATATTTAGGCTAGCATATCTATACTCACTTATAATATTAATACGTGCGCCCAAATGTGCAGATTTAGGAGCGTCCTTATCAACTAATTCATAATTTCGAATGCGCATCCAAGTGAATAGTTCTGCGTCTGGGTAAATTTCAATTCAATTATAACTAGATGAGAATGGAAGAGTTACAATATACATAAATATGAAGACAATATGCAAAAAGTTGCTTAATTTAATTAAAAAATTAGCTATAATCCTTTGAGAGAATCTTTCTTTGCTTTACACAAAAGACAGAACAAGCTAGTACAAAAATTACTACTTAATCACAGTTCTATTGTAACTATAAGTGAAACACAAATAATGTTGAAGAGATCAATGCTTTGACATGCATAATTATATTTAATGCTATGAATCAATTTCAATCATACCCTGAATGCCATTACTGCATGCATTCTGCCACCCAAATATCTATTAGTAATGGCGTACAGCCAAACATTTTGTGGCATAAAAATTCCCAAAGCTTCGTGGCGGATATATATGAAAGGGTTTCTTATGTATGTAATAAAGTGACTATATTCGCACTATATTTATTGCCTTTATTTGTAACACGGCAGTTTTGGTCACTTGATAGTTTTATGCTTGGCGGGTTTTCTAACTAAACGCTATAATTTTAGTGGCGCATATCTTTGGCTGACAGCGGCGATTGGATGCAACAAAGGGTAAGCATTATACTAATTCATTTCGCTACTTCCACGATAGAAGTTGAAATCACATGAAAAATTTGAGATAGACGTTTTATGATTTAACGTTGTTCTGTCAAGTGTATTTGGTACGATACATGCATGAATATACTGCAGTAGCCTATATATTCTAGTCATTCTGTTTTTTGGTGTGTTTTTTTATTCTATGTGCCAGTATTGATCTAGCTCTGTTTGAATAAAGTTTGTTTTGCATGATAATATGTAATTTTATACGAGCTTGCACCAGTTGCACGTGCATGCATGCATGCATTTGAAGATAATTTATATTGGGGAAATATATTGACTATTGTAATGCTCAGTTGAAATTTATTATATTATACTAGCCCTGCCACGCAATATGTTACTGTATATTGAAAGAGATTTAAAATAATCGAACGGTTCGATTACTAAACTACTTTAAATCAAATTTTATTAATCTAAACATTCAATATTTACCAACTAGAGTCATAATTGTTTTGTCTTGTAAAGACATAATCATATAAAAAATATCTTGACAATTAAATAAAGTAAACGAAGAATTGATGTGTTTCTGCATGACATTAAAAAGTATCGTCCCTAATCTCATTAATTAATTTCACGATGTTTAAATATACTCTGTCGGTGTATACATTGCTGTATCGGCAGGCGGTAACTATAACATCCAGTAAATAACATCCGGTAACTAACATCCTGATTAAAGATAAATATTTCTCAAAACCAAAATCAATTTTCAGTGTTTTGAAAAGTCTTGTAATTTACCATTGTGTCCACGTTGTTGAATCTGATCATATAATACATTTTTGCAAATATAACAAATTCTTGCCAATTTAAAACATTTAACATTTTTGTTCAACGCAAATGCCAGGTCATATTGAGGATGCATGGCATTCTGACTAATGAACCATGCAGTGATCATTTTCTGGCAGTTCATGCATACCCAGGGCCCCCTTGAAGAGCCCCATCCCTCCTTCCCTCCCTCCCTCCCTGTGCGAGGCATTTGCAGTTGGGAGCTAGGTGTACATGATTTCACATACATGTGACACACACACATTCACTTGACGAACGCATGCATGTGACACGCATACTGATCATTACAAGTGTT